GATGCACGTATAACATGCTGAAAACTACATCCCATGAACACTACACATGTGCCTAATTTTTCAAACACACCAACACTGGACCTTCACTCCTCAGCTACACAAAGCAACTTAAACTCCCGAAGCTGCTCGTGGGGAAATTGAAGGACACCCCTCATTCTGTGTCCTGGAGAAGAATCCATAAAAGCTTCCATGACTGGCTACTCCCAGGAGAGAGTAGACACACTCAGTGAGCTGGTGCCTTGTCTGCCCCGTACACCGTCTTTCTTCCCCCTGGGATTTCTCAAGTTTCTTTCCAATTGCTCTTTGCTCTGCCCTTTCAACAGCAGATATTTATCATCCTAACAAATTCTTCGTGGAATGAAGGATACTGAATTAGTTTAGTCGTGATACCAGCACCACCACCACCACAGGTTCCTCATATTTCATGGGTCACCATGTGTAGCTTACCCTGCTGGACCCAAAATCTCACTGGCTGCTTCCTTAAGTAAACAACCTGAAATCCATGTCTTGTCATCTGGCCCTCCTACTGCTTTCTTCGAATTGGTAATCATGATGTTTAAACTCAAACAGATCTGGGATTGCATCATTACACCCATGTACTTGTGAGCTGACAATGGCTGGAACACCTCTACCTGTTCTCTATAAATGAAGTGTCTGTGTCCAAAAATATTACAGATGATGAGTGCACATTTTAAATATTTTAAGGCATTAAAATATACAAAAACATAGTTTCACTGTCAATTTTGTAAGTTCAACTGAACCTTACATGTCTTTGTTGATATTTGCTTAATTCTTGCATCTCCTGCGAACCCTGCTACCAATTGCACAACAATTGGATGTCAGATTAGGATTATTTTCATTATTTTAAGTCAAGAATACTGTTTCATTTATTGATGAGGGAATAGTGATGGAACCTAATTGTTGGTTCCAAACCGTTTTGGGAAACAAAGGTGAAACTTTTCTATGTATGTATTTTCACATATGTTACAGCTTCCCATTTTCCCCATTTACAACTGACCTGACTTTCTTCACGTTCAAGGGCTAAAGTTTTCAATAACTAAACACTTTATGTTTGCTTTTGCATCATAAGAAAATGTCCACAAGGTAGTAGGGCTTTGTTTGCTCCTGCAGTTTTATTGCTGTTTTATTTTGAGATTCTTTTGTTTTGGATTTAAACCACACTGGCTGTGCTCAGTAATTCCTTCACACTCAGGAATTACTCTGGCCGTGCTCAAGGTACCATCTGGGATGACTGAGATGGAACCCAGGTTGGCCATCTCGGCCGACGGGCATCGGATAAGAAGGAGCAGCACGAGAAAGCTGGGAACTGCCCTGAGCCGGGGCTCCTGAGCTACGTGGAAGAGCTGTGCTCCCAGGAGGCCTTTGTCACCAAGGTGGGGGTTTGGGCGCTACTGTGGGGTGGGAAAGTGCAGGGCTGCTTCTGTCAGGACTTGGCAGTGACATGTGATCTTTGCTTTGAGCTCTGTGTATGTATGCCCACCTATTCTTGAATATTTCTACTTGTGTTTGTGTGCATATGTGCATTTGTGTCTCTGTGTACAAACATTGGCCCTTGTTTGTGCATTTCTGAGTTTGATCGATGTGTGAACATCTCTGGGTGTCAACATCTGTGTGTACAGTGTGGGATCTGCGCGGACATGTGCAGATACATGTACACGTACCTAGAGTTGGAAGTGTGTGTGTCTTTATGTCAGGTGTGTGCATGAATCCATGTGTGTTCACACGTGCTTCTCTGTGAGAGTAGGTGAATAGTCCATGTGCCCAGGGCTGTGGATGGCTAAGGGAAGTTGTCTCTGGCTTGCCTTTCCCCTCCTCCAACAGGACCCAAAAGAAACCCAGAAGTAAGGTCACAGTGACACCTTCTGGTATTGGAAAAAGAGGCGATTTAGAAATCACAAGCTAGCAAGGCTTCAAGAGAATGAACGAACCTATGAGGAAACACTCACATTTTTCTCAGTGCATGTGGATCGTTGTCCAGTTCAACTCAGTCATAGATCTCTACAAAAGTATCAATAATAATATAAACATTTAAGCGAAATTAAGCATCTTTTCCCATTACAAAGTTATGAAGGAAAAAAAATCAACCCAAAAGCAAACAGTAAGAATCACACTATACAGAAGCAGAACAAGATTCTTCTGAATAGCTCTTGAAACAATGAGGAAATAAATAAGATGTATGAACATTAACAGGAGACAAAGTAAAAATAAACTAGGATATGCAGCAAAGAAAATGATGGGAATGAGGGAAGATCAAAGCGATACAGGCCTACTTTTAAAAAAAGAAAAGAAAAAGTAAGAAAGATTCAAATAATCAATTTGAGGTCACATGTGAAGAATATGGAGACGGAAAGAAAAAATTAGCAGAAGGAAATGATAGGAACTTGATTATAAATGAACAAAAATTAAAATGACATAGGAGCCCAAATTATTTGAATCTCATTCCTAAAGTGTCTGGTGGATGTGATGCAGAAAGAAATTCTATCTCAGGCATTCTTCTTTTTCTAGGAACTCATAAATGACAAAGTAAGGGCCTTTGACTGTAAATTTCTGAGATATTCTCTCTTTACTTTTTTTGTTATTTTTTTCTCTTCCCATTTGGCTTTTGGAACACTCCCAGTGGTGCTCAGGGCCTACTCTAGGTTCTGTGCTCAGAAATCATTTCTGGCAGTGCTCAGAGGACCATAAATGTTTCCTGGATCAAAGCATGATTTAGTCACATGCAAGCCTTTAACTCTGTACCTATCTCTGGCTCTTCTTTGCTTTTTTCTTTTTTTCTTTTTGGGTCACACCCAGCGATGCACAGGGTTTACTCTTGGCTCATGCACTCAGGAATTACTCCTGGCGCTACTCAGAGAACCATATGGAATGCTGGGAATCGAACCCGGGTCAGCCACGTGTAAGGCAAACGCCCTACCTGCAGTGCTATTGCTCCAGCCCCACTTCTTTGAGTTTTAACATAGGTTTCGGCAGAGAAGATGAAAGACAGGGTCTTTCTGACATCAGCTGCCTCTGATCTCTCCTGTAGGTTCATCTGACAGAAGAGACATTTCACAGCAGAGGAAAATGTGAATTTTGTTTTCTTGTCTCTTGTTCACTAGTGTTATAATGGGTTTCAGGGAGCTGAGAGCTCAGATGGACACAGGGAGGACATGAAGTAAAGAACAGAAACATCACTGACTACACACGACAAGGAATAGGCTTTGCGACAGAAAATCAACAACAAATTGGAAAAATCTCCAAATCAGCATATATATTATTGTAGATTTCACAAGGGGAGGAAAAAAATACTACAGTAAGCCAAGAAAACCAGGAGGAAGAATCTAATTTCCAGACTTAGCAATTTATAAGAAATTTCTGCCAATCCCAGACACATAAACAGAAAAACAAAATTGGTTTTGACAAAGGTGCAAAAGTAAAATTCTTGGCGATGATAGAAAACACCAGATTAATAAGCTTAAAAATGAATAAACTTAACATCCATATTTAAATCTCATATTTTGAGTAAGATGGTTTTCATGGTAAGTGATCACCATGCCACAGTTTTCCATCTTTATAACTTCGTCTTATTGACAATGATATTCTCCAAACGGGACTATACATGCTATGAAAATGAAATGTTATAGATATGACTACTGACTAAATGACTGAGCAAAATCCACTTGACATCCTGTGATAGAATCAATGTTTTTTATACTGGATGTTAGTATTTGTTACAACGGATTATACTGTTTTCCCCGATGATTCACTCACTGAGGATCTTTCAGATTATTTCCAATGAAAGTTATTACTAAAAAATTCTAAATGATACTGAAAATTATGGAGTTGTCCCTTCTAATGGGTGAATTTTATGACATGAATTCTATCTCAGTTGAACTCTGCAACAAGCTGAGAAGCCTATCCCTTATCTAGCAGTGTGGCTTGCCCTTCCTGGGTTGAAGCATCCCCGCACAATCCTGCCTCCCTGGGTCCCTCCTCTCGGCTCGCTCCTGGGGTCTCCCTTTCTGCTCCAACGTTCTCATCTCAGGATGGATCCATCCCGCAGCTCCAGCTGCGCCTGAGGCCCCTACTCAACTCGGAGCTCGACCTCTCCAGCCCAGATCTCTTCCAAAAGCCACCTGGAGTTCCGAGGTCCCTCCCTTGAGTGAGCAGAAGCACTCAGCTGCTCCGTGGACCCTGCTCCAACTCTCCAGGGCCTGACCTGGTCAGAGTGGGACCAAGGTGGGGTGTGAGAGCTCGGGTCCGAGGGGATTAGGGCGGGGTCAGGGCGGGGCCAGGGCGGGGACAGCGCAGGGGCAGGTCCAAGGTCAAGGAGGGCTCAGGAGAGAGCTGTGTCCAAGGAGGAGGATGGGATTAGAGAGGTCATGTATGTCTTAGGGTCAGGGGGCAGTGTCAGGGTGGGGTCAGAGGACAGAGGGGAGGGGCCACTCTGGCCCTGGGCACGGAACCGGGAAGCCCCTGGCAGGAAGTCCCGCCCCCAAAGCCCGAGGGCCCAGGAGGTGCCTGGGGCGCCCTGGGCACAGGTGAGCGGATGGCCTTGGGCAGGGAACAGCCTGGAGTGGACTGGCCCAGCCTGTTTGTTCCTCGCGGTGTTCCCCAGTCTTCGTGCGGGCAGCCAGCCACTGCGTCCACGCGGTTGGGGCACCCGGCCCGCCCTGTCCAGGCCACACGGCCCACCTCCGCCCCTCCCGAGACAGCGGGGAGGTGGAGGCGGGATACTAGGACAGCCCCTCACACAATGCTGGTGTCTGGGCCCGGGGTGGGAGTGGGGTGGGGGGCGCTGTGGGCATGGGGTCGCCGGGATGCAGCTGGAACCAGCTGTGGCCACCACATCCCTTCCGCGTCGTACCACGGGGCTTGCTCACGAGCGCTCTGCTGTCCAGGTTCCTGCTGCCCAGGCAGCGGGCAGGGACATCAGACCCCAAGCTGCCCTGTGGCTCTGGGGCTGGTTGAGCCCTGCTCCTGACTTTCCCACCGAGAAGTGGTCCAGGGTCTACCGGAGAGGAAACGGGGACCTCCCTGTTTCCCACACGGTATCGGGCTGGTCTCCACAGTGTGCGGGAAGCCCAGGGGCGTAGGGATGATCACTGGTGGCCAGGAGGCCGTGGAAGGCCAGTGGCCATGGCAGGCCAGCCTGCAGTACCGGGACATTCATCCCTGTGGAGCTGTGCTCATTGATTCCCACTGGGTGTTCTCTACCGCCCACTGCTTTCCAAAGTGAGTTGTTTCTTGGCTCCTTGCAGCTGGGCTGGCAGGGGGAGAGGGTTAAGATATTAGAGCTCCCAAGTCCTCAAGGCTGTGTGCTGGGATAATCTGTGTCATTCTAGTCCAAGTCTTTCTGCCTGTGACCTGTCCTCTCCTGTATTGTCCTCACTCCTCACCTGACTTTGCTCATCTTCCATCCTCATCCCTGTGCCTTCCCCCGACACAGGTATGCCCCCGAGATGGCAGTGTTCATCCTGCCTCCCAGGTGCAATGAGAGCTGGCTCTTTGTCACCTCACACCAGGGCTTCCCTCAATGTCCCTGCAATCCTGGTTGGCAGAGAGAGGCTGGAACCTGGGATGCAGGGGCAGATGCTGGTGTTCGGCATGTCTCTGGCCTGGGGTCTCTGCTCACCACATGTCTATTGGCCAGCTGCATGGACACTAGATATGGAGTCCCTGACCTTGAAGAACAGAGCTGCTCTCTGTCCTGGGTCTGGTTGGCTGTTCCTATAGGTTTGGGAAGGTCAGTAACCAGGAGCTGGATCTTCGGTACATAGAGAACCACAAGCATCTGCTCTGTGCTGTGTCCCACTTGAGACTCACTATGGATTAGGTTGGCTTGACCCACCTCACTGTGTCTCCATTTAGTCAGAGCCAAAGTTCTCCCTGTGGATGAGCAGGGCTGACACCACTGGAGTGTGGAAGTCAGATGGGTAGGCTCCTGTGGGCATAGGTCAGCTTGTGGAAGCAAGAGTTTGGTCACCGACTGTGTGGGGAGGAATTTCCAGGTGGTGGAGTAGAAGGTGGTATGTTTCCTCCCTCATGGTCAGAACACAGGACATCCTGCACACATGGTCTCCCATTGACCAATGATTTTGTGCAGTTTTAGAACAGGTGAGTACCAAGAAGGAAGTGAGGGGCGGGAGCGATACCACAGTGGGTAGGGCATTTGCCTAACACGTGGCCAATCCGGGTTCGATCCCCAACATCCCATATGGTCCCCTGAGCACTGCCCGGAGTAATTCCTGAGTGCAGAGCCAGGGGTATTCCCTGTGCATTGCCGGATGTGACCCAAAAATCAAATAAAAATAAAAATAAAAAATAAAAAAGAAGGAAGTGAGAGAAAGGAGTGGTGCTAGAGCAGTTTGGTCATAAGGCGGGTCAAGAGCCAAGACGGAGCCAGGGCTGTCTGCATGTGCCCAAGGAAGGTCAGGATCGTCTAGACTCATGGGGGCCTCCAGCCCTCTGTGATCCCTTCCTCCAGTAATGGGTGTGTGCTGAGTTCAGTTTAAAACCGCCGCTGGTCTCCAGAGAGAAGGGCTGACAGAAAGGGAGAGTCATGTGGGGTGGTACAGACAAGGCAGTGCTGGGGGTCAGATGATGGTGTAGAGGCGCAAGCTGCCATATACAGAAGATAATGACTCACTTTCCCTCCTGCAGGAAGTCTCATGCCCCTGAAGATTACTGGGTGATTGGGGGAAGTACGCAGCTCTACCAGGACACCCAATACGCCAGGACAGTGACTGTGAGCTGCATTATCATCCATCCAGACTTTAAGAAGCTCCACCATTTTGCAACAGTGTTAAAACTGCACCAACCTGTGAACTTCAGCTCCTATATCATTCCTGTCTGCCTTCCAACCCCTGGCATGGAGCTGCCCCTTGGCACATCTTGTTGGATAACTGGCTGGGGAAAGCTCACCGAGAACAGTGAGTGGCTATGGTGTGGGTGTGGGTGGGAGATGGGGAATGGGATTCTAGCTCATCAAAATCTCTAATTAGCATGGAGACCAGTGGACCTTGTTCCTCTGTGCCTCATTTTCAGAGAGCTGGACTCTTCTAGTTCCTCTTGTGAAAAATGTGTCCTTCTGAAAGCTTCAAAGTTACTCAAGTTGAAGACACTGAAATTCTGGGGTCCTTTGGTTTTTGGAGTCAGGAATCTGGATCTCAAAGTTTCTCTGGTTTGGGTGTCCAAATTTAACTGATAAATTAATTGATTTAGGGTTTCTCAAAAATGCTGTTTAGGTGGCCTGAGAACTCCTCTTATTGGTGTATGGCTTACCTTCTCAGTTTGAGAATGCAGTGTTGTTAGGTCCTGCAGGCCACCCCACTGATGCTGGGGAAACCTCTGGGCCACATCTGGTTGTGCTCAAGGGACTGTGAGGCTTTATCTTGAAGCTCAGGGAACATGTCATGCCAGAGATATGACTGGCAATGATTTTGTGAGAAGCATGTGTTTCACACTTCTATTACCTACTAGCCCCTTGGTTCTAATATTTCAATTTGATGTAGATCAGACATGAATTTGTGAAATGAATTTGTCTGAGTGTTTCTCTTTCTACTGTGAAATACCTTGATTTTTCCATGGCCATGGAAGGAACACGTAAAGTAAAGTAAAGGCCCTCCCGTTGTTCGTCAATTTGCTCGAGCAGGCCCAGTAACGACTCCATTGGAGACTTTGTTGTTACTGTGTCTGGCATATCGAATACGTCACGGGGAGCTTGCCAGGCTCTGCTGTGCGGGCTAGATACTCTCGGTAGCTTGCCGGGCTTTCCGAGAGGGGCGGAGGAATTGAACTCGGGTCGGCCATGTTGGCTGCGTGCAAGGCAAATGCCCTACCACTGTGCTATCGCTCCAGAAGTAATACGTGAAAGTAACAAAAAAGCTCTTGAAGAACCTCGGGGAAGATCGATCATGGCCTGAAATTATCTCAGCTCCATCACCTAAGTTTTGTGCTTCTCCTAACCTGTGTCTCCTATCTGCCTCTTGGATTTGTTAGGTGAATGGAGATATAGGGTGAATACAGGGCAAAACTTTGTGGAGGTTTTTAGTTAAATGAGAAATATAAACATTGAGTATAAACATGAACTTGTTCAGAGAAGTATGTTTATACTTTAGTGAAATGTTGATGGCATACTGATTAGGGAAAAGGAAATATTTATTTGCCTTTTAAAATTTTTTTATTTTTATAAAGTTGTTCACAATAATTTATTACATTAAATATTCCAACACCAATCCCACCTCCATACACCTTCCCACCACCATTATTTTGAATTTTCCCTTCTTTCTCTCTTTCTTTCTTTTTTTCTTTCTTTCTTTCTTTCGTCTGTCTGTCTTTTTTCTTTCTTTCTTACCTTCTTTTTCTTTTTGGGTCACACCCAGCAATGCTCAGGGGGTTGCTCCTGGCTCTGCATTCAGGAAGTATTCCTGGCGATGCTCGGCGGACCATATGGGATGCTGGGAATCGAATGTGGGTCAGCCGCGTGAAAGACAAATGCCTTTCAGCCCCTAACTGCCTTTATTTATTTATTTATTTATTTTATTAGTGAATCACCTTGAAGTACAGTTATAGACTTACAAATTTTTGTGCTTGGTTTCAGTTATACAATGATCAAGAACCCATCCCTCCACCAGTGTCCATTTTCCACCACCACGGGTCCCAGTATCCCTCCCATCCCCCACACCCCTATCCCACCCTGCCTCTGTAGCAGGGCCTTCCCTTTTGTTCTCTCTCTCCTTTTGGGTGCTGTGGTTTGCCAGAGAGGCATTGAGTGGCAATTGTGTTTGGTCTATAGTCTATTTTCAGCATGCTTCTCCTATCCTGGGAGGATCCTCTTAACACCCTTTATTTGGTGCTCCCTTCTCTATCTGAGCTTTCTTTTCCCCTAGCACGTGTGGCTGGCCTCCAAGTCATGGAGCAAAATTCCTGGTACTAATCTCGGCCACTCTTGGGTGTTAGTCTCCTATTTTGTTACTTTATGTTTCCCAGATGAATGCAATCTTTCTGTGTCTATCCCTCTCTTTCTGACTCATTTTTCTTAAAATGATACTTTTCATGTATTACAACTTGTATGTAAATTTCATGATTCATCTTTTCCAACAGCTACATAGTACTCCATTGTCTAAATGTACCAAAGATTCTTCAACCAGTCATCTGTTCTCGGGCACTCAGGTTTTTTTCAGATTCTGGCTATAGTAAAGAGTGCTGCAATGAACAAACAAGTGCAGATGTCACGTCGACTATACGTTTTTGCCTCTCTGGGACATATTCCCAGGAATGGTACAGCTGGGTCAAATGGGAGCTCAATTTCTAATTTTTTGAGAATCATCCATACTGTTTTCCAAAAGGGTTGAACCAGTCGGCATTCCAACGAGCAGTGAAGGAGGGTTCCTTTCTTACCACATCCGCACCAGCACCAGTTGCTTTTGTTCTTTTGGATGTGGGCCCGTCTCTGTGGTGTGAAATGATATCTCATTGTTGTTTTGATCTGCATCTCCCTGATGATTAATGGTGTAGAGCATTTTCTGATGTGCCTTTTAGCCATTCAGATTTTTTCTTTGAGAAAGTTTTTGTTCCTTTCATTGCCCCTTTTTTGATGGGGTTGGGCATTTTCTTCTTGTGGAGTTCAACCAGTATTTTGTATATCCTTGATATCAACCCCTTGTCAGATGTGTGTTCGGCGAATATTCTTTCCCATTCTGTAGACTGTCTTTGTATTTTGGTCAGTGTTTCTTTTTAGGTGAAGAACCTTCTTAGTTTAAGATCGTCCCATTTGTCTATCTCTGTTTTCACTTGCTTGGCCAGTGGCGTGACATCTTTGAAGATACCATTAGCTTCTGGTCTGCTGCCACCATCCCTCGCTCTACCTTTTCCGAGTCTCCTCCCCCTCACCCTTTGTTTCTTCGATCCCCACACCCAGTTGTGTCTCCATTCTGTCCCCATCACTCTGTGGTCTGTTTCCTTGGCAGCTGTGATCTTGCCCAGGCCACAAGAGTCCCCAACTCTTCTCGCCAATATAAGGGAGGCCTGTTGGCCCTGTTTCCTGGTCATAGGATTGGCCACTGGCCTTCTCTGCTCTACTCCTGCTCCCTACCTGCTAACAACTGGATCACAAGACTCCAGGACCTGATTTTATCTTCCCCTGGTGAGAATGGTGAGAACCCACAGATCTCATAGTGCCTTTCTGTAAATATTCTCCCAAATCTCAGGTCTTTGGAACTCTTCCTCCATCTATGATGTCTGACATTCTCTTGTAGCCCCTCTGTTGAATTCACAGTCAGTGCTGTCTTTTCTTCATAGTACTTCAAGACCCGCCTGGCTGCAGATCTACTTCTCCATGGTTGGCTGACCAGTATAATCCCTAACTGCCTTCCTTGCTCCCCACATTGCTTCTGCTTTTCCTACCACACTGGACCCTCCTCTTTGTACCCTCTGCTCCCGTGACTCCAGGATCACAAGGTCATTTTCAGTTTCTTGCTTGGAATCCCAGCTCAGCAAAGCCTTCTGCCGCCAGCCATGAACAACGCCCCTCCCTTCTAGACAGCTCCCATCTCTTATGAGATTTGATTGCACGTGTCAATCTGAGAGAGGTCTCTGGTCTTCTCTGTATGTGCCTGTGTGCCTTAAAGCTCCAGTACTAGGAATCACACAAGGGTACTCAGGGAGCATTTGTCTGCAGTGTGGTTAGAGGAGCCTCAGAGCTATAGTTCCTGCTCCCCAACTCCCTTGCCTAGATGAGCCTTTCCCTTTGATGCAGTAAGAGGGCTTCTGCCCACACTGGTTTCCCTGAGATTATTTCAGGATGCTTTGTGGTGACGCGCCCCCCACCCCTCAGGCCCCAGCATTATAGAGTTTCTCCACCACACGTAGGTAGGAGCATTTTCCAAAGAGTCTGAACATTTTTGAGAAACCCAGAGGCTGAAGTGACTGAGAGGAAGGATTCTAGGAGGTGTATACTGCTGTAATCAGCTTTCTGAAAAGGTCTATAGTGGCTTCAGACACCCAGTGCCTCTCACAGGCTCAGTCTCTCGGCCCTTATTCATTAACCATCACTTCTGATGCTGAGTTAGTACAAGGTCCTTGGCCAGTGGCCAAGTTTAACTGCATGATTGATAGATTTCCATCTGTGACTGTCCCAAGGATCAATTTGGAGCTTCCTAGTGCAGGATGGTAGTTCCGACCCCTGACTCTAGAACTATATCAGGACACTGGCATCAGGATCATCCCAAGGGACCACTGAAAACACCCAAACAGCCGTGCCCAATAACCTGCCCTTATAATTAGAATTCTGAGTCCCACCTCAATTGTCCACACTGATTGCCCTCTCTTTTTTTAGGGTGATTCTGGAGGCCTTCTGGTCTTTGACTTCTGCAAGAGTTGGGTTCTTCTGGGGTTGGCCAGTTGGGGCCTGGACTACCAGCGTCCCATGTCCCTCAGTGTCTTCACCAGTGTTGTCCATTTCATCAAGTGGATCGTCCAGATCCAGAGACTTGTGCCTCTTCCTGTTTCCTTGTCTGCTCCTCCTGAGGTCCCATTTCTATATGAATCCTAGCCAGTTTCCAGCTCATCGATATTAACCCTCAGACCTCTACAGCACTGGCTCCTGTTGCTTTTAGTGCTTAAGGCCCTGTGGCAGGACCTGCAGTGACCGAAGAACATTCTGTCCCTGCTCTTTGCCCCAGTCCTCAGCATTCTTACTGGAGCCTCACACTTGCCACCATCTCTGTGGTTCTGTCCATCTGTTGTGATCCCAAACCCAAGCCTGGAAAAGCAAAGCAAAACCAAATAAAGGCTCACCTTGCTCTGAAATTGGTGCATGTCCCTTCCTGTGGACTGGTCATCTGAACCCCTGGTCAAGGAAAGAGGTCTGGCAGGAAGGCTGACTGGCAGGAGGGCAGGCCACTGAGGCCACTGGGCACCTGCTGAAAGAGTTGTCTGTGTCCACGTTGGTAGACTCTCCTCTGTGTCGAAGGTGAGCATATCTTCCCAGATGATGATTAATCTCTGCCATCTCTCAGAAACGATAGGACAGGCCCATAACGCAAATGATGGAGACATCTCTGGAACCTGGAGGTCTGAGATGCAGGGGCAGCAGGGCTGATCGCACCCGAGGCCTCTCCACTTCATGTGTGGGTGCCTCTGTGTGAGTCCGTGTCTCTTCTCATCAGGACACCAGTCTTGTTGGGTTTGGGTATATATCAGTGATCTCTTTCCTGTTAATCACCCCTTTGAAAGAACTGACCTCCATGGGTCTGGGAGCTCTTAGAGCTGTTTGGGGGCATGTTCAGCATGCATCATTGGGTGCAGCCCTGGAGGCACCCTGCCACTGAATTGCCATTGAATTGGCCAAGAAATGCCAGTGATGAAGTTTACATAGGTGTCATAGATCTATCCCTCAGATGTGGCATATAAAGAGTTGTAATAAGGAAATAATAAATGGCAGAGACAATAAAAACTAAGGAAGAGTTTAGAGAGTGGAGTTTCCTGGGTGGCAGGGGAAGATGGTCTGGGGGAGAGGGGACCGGAACCATGGCTGGGGAGGGCAGTGGGCACTCTGGTGCTGGTGTGGTGAAGGGACACTGTGTCCATGGACCCCTACCACTGTAGCAGTGGGCAGTGCTGAAAGGAGGTAAAGGGATACTCATGATACCCTTTCAGTAACAGTATTGCAAACCACACTGCCTAAAAGGGAAGTGAGAGGGGGTGGGGGGGGAGACAGACAGACAGACAGGTGCTCTTGTGCTGGTGTGTAGGACACTGTGTCCATGGTCCCCTATTACTGTAGCAGTGGGTAGTGGGCAGTGGGTGCTCTGGTGCTGGTATGTAGGACACTGTGTTCATGGACCTCCATCACTGTAGCAGAGGGCGGTGGGCACTCTGGTGCTGGTGTGGTGGAGAGATACTCTGTCCATGACAACCTATGGCAGTAGCATTAGAAATCATGGTACCGAATGTTTTAGAAATATAAAGAATCCCTCATGGTGCCCCCAGACCTCCTGAGCGTTCCTTGGGAAGACCCCCCACCAACCCCAAGAGAGACCCTGAAACCAGCCCAATGTCTGAACATGCATACTGAGGGGCGCAAAGGCCATGTGCTGCCAGACACACGCCCAGCCCAGTACCACTTTCAGGGGGGTGTCCTGTCCTCCTGCAGGCCCAGCAGCCAACATAGCCTTACAGGGGACAGCCATGTTGGCCGCCTACAACGTAAACGCCTTACCCACTGTGCTATTGCTCCAGCCCGTTAATAGTGATAAGTGCAGAGAATTAAAATGTTTAACACTGAAGAGTTGTTTTCCTACTGTTTCTCAATAATTAGAGTTGTAACTAGTTTTTAAAAACTAGTAGTCTAATTCCCTGAGAATCTCTAAGGTCCCGAATTTCAAATATCTTGTCACTGAAAATGAAGAATGGTTCTCAAACACCTTCTCTACAGGTACCAGGACCATATTTAAATGGTAAAACACTTAACAATGAAATCAGTACATTAAATCGGCCCCCTTTATTATTATTATATGATTATTTGGTTTTGGGGGTACACCTGGTATACTCACATCTTACTCCTGGATCTCGGAACAGACTCATTTATCACAGTGTGGGGGCTATATGGGGTGCTGGGAATCGAGTGCATGGATTGGCTATGGGCAAGGCAGGCGACATATCTGCTGTACTATCCCTCCCACTTATTTATTAAAGAGTGATGGCAAATGTTCAAATATGTCTGGTTACAAAAACATTAAAATTCAATGATGTCAAATCAAAGCATGGTACATTTTATGTGAGTGAAGAATATGATATGCAAATACCCAATGAGCTTTAATTTTTTATTTGATCCAGGCTAATGCAGCAAGATGTGAGCCTTGTCTCTGCCCTCAGGATGGTGTGGGCCTGCAGGTGACTGAGCACGTCTTCCTCCAGATGGGAAGGACTCCTCCCTCTCCAGGGAGCACAGTACTCTCAGGGTTCTCCCCTGCCCTGTGATTCCCCTCACCCTTTGTGCTCTCAGGCCTCCCAAGGAGCACAAGTGAGAGGACAGACACTGAGATGTTTCCAATGAACTGAACTTTATTCACTATTTACACAATGACACAAAGAGGCTGCTCCAGTCAAACCCCCCATTCCAGGTACAGCCCCCCCATTCCAGAGCAGGCTTAGCTGAAGATCATGGGGAGTACAAGGCTTCTGGGTGCAGCCAGACCGTGGGAGGTGGTCAGGAGGAGCCCCCCGATATCCTACTGTCTCTTGTGCCCCTTCCCCCTCCTCTGGGCCATGGCAGGCTGGCACTTTCTCTTGGGGGGCAGGGAGGGGCCCTCCAGCTCCACAGTCAAGGCTGAGCCAGTAGACACCGTGGGGTGCCCCCTGGGACAGGGGGTCTTCTTAGCAGTGCCCCGCCTTGGGCCCCCACACAGAGGATGCTTCCTGGTAGGGGCCTTAGACTTGAAGGCCCTTGTGCGAGTGGATGGGAGCTCAGGAGTCCCCTGACCTCCAGGCAGGTGGGGGCCAGTGTCAGGGCCAGTGTCAGGGCCAGGGCTCCTGGGTAAGCCCCAGGGCAGCAGGCTGTAGTGAGAGGTTAGGAGGAAGGACAGGCTGGTCAGGTCCTCTTCCTCCTTACTAGAGCCCTCTGCTGGCCCAGGCGACCCCTGGCCAGGAAGGGCCTCGCCCAGCATGCGGGGAGCCCTGCTGTCCAGAGTGGGTACAGTGAGGCTGGGACAGGGGGCCGGTCCTGCCTGCAGTGGTGGAGACTCCAGGCTCCCCAGAGAGAGGACAGAGGCTCCAGGTGCCATCCCAGTGGCCTCGGCCCGCCCAGGCCGTGAGGCGTGTCCAGAGTCAGTCTCAGATTCAGCGCTGGTCCCTGACCTGTGGCCCCAGGTAGGTGTTGGGGTGCAGTAGCCTGCTGCACTCTCAGCTGGACTCGAGTCCTTTAGGGACACCTGGTGTTGGGGACGAGCCTTCATGACCTCCTTGTCCTGCGGGGTCTGCAGACGCTTTTCCACAAGCTGGGGAGAGAAGGAACATTGTGGGCATGTGGGGGTGCAGGGTGGGACAGAGAGTGACCCTGATTCCTCCCGAAACAGAAAAACCAGATCTCTGTCCCACTAAGGGTCCTCACCCCATATTCACGTCCTCCTCTCACCTGAGGACTCAGAGGGAGACGCCTGGTCATGACATGGGCAGGGAGGCCACCAAGTGACCAAGACCCAGGGCGCTAGGGCGCCCCTCCTGACTCACGACCCACCTGCTGCTCTGAGTGCCCTGGGCCCTGTCCACTGTGTCCCCTGCAGGGTCTCTTTCCCAGGAATCATGTGAAATATGCCTCCTGTTTGTCCAGATTTGCTGCCCACTAACTTACAGGAATCCCTCGCATTACTCCCCTGGGCCCCACATGGACCTCAGAGACCCATCTGCCTCACCTGTGCGGGGGTGAGTCCTTCCTCCTCCTCCAGCTCCTCAGCCAGGGCCGGGAAATCCAGCTGGGACTCTGGGGAGTCCAGGTACTCCAGGAAGCTGGGATGAAGGATCGCCTCAGCCTGGGAGAGGGAAGCAGGGGTGAGGGTCCTCGTAGGGAACAGGAGGGAATGAGGAAGCAAACACACCTGTCCCCAGCACAGTGCAGGGGCTTGAACAGCTGCACAAAGTCAAACACAGACCCACACCGGGAGAAATCACACACATACACACACACATACACACACACACAGATGCAAACACACCCTCACCCACAAAGGCACACCGACTATTCACCTACTCTCACAGAGAAGCACATGTAAACACACATGGATTCATGCAAACACCTGACACAAAGACACACACTCTTCCACCTCTAGGTACATGTACATGTATCTGCACGTGTCTGCACAGAGCCCACACAGTACACACAGAGGTAGACACAGAGATGTTCACACATTGACCAAACCCAAAAATGCACAGAAAGAGCCAATGCTTGTACACAGAGAGACACACGTGCACACATGCGCACAAACACAAGCAGAAATATCTAAACACAGGTGTGCATTTACACACAGAGCTCAAAGCAGAGACCGCACATCACTGCCAAGCCCTGGACAGAAGCAGCCCTGCACCCTCCCGACCCCACAGCAGCATGGACGCGGGGTCCCCTCACATCCCTCTCTTCTTCCTTCCTCCTCAGCCTGTGTCCCCAAGAAGGCCAGACCCCAGGCCCACCTTGGTGACAAAGGCCTCCTGGGAGCACAGCTCGTACACATAGCTCAGTAGCCCCGGGTCAGGGCAGGTCCCAGCCTCCTCCTGCTGCTCCTCCCTGTCCACTGTCCGTTGGCCGAGGGGCGCCCTGCAGACTGAGTCGGGGGCCTTTAGCAGCTCGTCCATGATGTCCATGTACTCCTGCACGGCCTCAGGAGGGATCTCCTCAGGGGCCTTGGTCTTGGGGGGCTGCTGAGGTTTGTGTGTCTTGGGGCGGGCTGCCCGGGCCTGGGGTCTGGCCTTCTTGGGGACACAGGCTGAGGAGGAAGGAAGAAGAGAGGGATGTGAGGGGACCCCGCGTCCATGCCCTCAGACACACAGCACTGAGCACAGAGTTGGGGACGGGTCCCTGTACGCTGGATCAGGGCCCTAGAATCCAGTGACTGTGTGAGGGATGAGGTGGCCCTCAACGGGAGGAGGGACCAACTGTGTCCCCAGGGTCTCCGACCCCACTTCAAAGGTGAGTCTGACGCCTCAGGCAGCGTGGGGTGTGCTAGGAGAGGGAGAAACCCGTGGACAGGAAGCCGCTGACCACAGGTCTGGGGGTCATCGGGAGAGTGAAGGCTCCCTGTCAGGTCAAGACCCACGAGGGCCTTCCCAGGTCCTGTGGCCCTTAGCTGGGAGCAGGGTCCGTACCTGTCTGCTGGTCTGGCGGTGGGCCTGGAGCCCCCTGAGGCCCAGGCCTGGGTGGGGCGGGGAGTGGCAGGCCCTGCACCCCGTTCGTCCACTGCAGTTTCTGCACCTCCATCTCCTCCTCGGCCTCGAACTCCATGAACCTGGTGTGAGGAACACAGGCCCTGATGAGTCGGGTTGAACGGGACTGAGCAGGATGAGTAAGGGACAGGGGATGCTCATGGCCCAGTCCCCAGGAGGGTAGAGAATGGGGTGGACACGGACCCCAGCACCCCCAGCGATCCCCCACATTGGCCCTGGAGGGTCACAGCAGGTCAGGGACTGTGACCCTCAGACTGTGGTCAGGAGCCCCAGAGTGGGCTTGGGAAAAGTGTCCCGGCTCCGGGAGGAACAAGTTTCCGCAGTGGAAGGGTCTCCTGGGGCTGCCAAGCCCTCCCTTCCCCTCGGCCATCTGGGACCAGCCCCTGAAGCTCGGGCCTGCAGCCACCCTGACCCCCACTCTCTGCTCAGGCCTGACTCACTTGGCCGCCATGTCGTAGTAGATCATGCGGTCATAGTTGCTCTTGCCCTGCCATTCCTGCAGGGCCCGGTGCAGGCCTTCCTCCAGGCTCATGGTAGGCTTCAGGCGGGCCAGTGTGCGCAGCACCGGGCTGCAAGAACAGGCTCGGTCAGGCTCTGCGTCTGCCGGGAGCCCCCGCCGCCCCACACCCATGCCTTGACCCCCGATATCGGCCTGATCTCCCCTCCCAGAGTGCACTATGCCTCCTATACCCCAGTCCAGTGGCCCTGCTGGCATCCACTCTTAGCTCTGGGGATACGTCATGAGACGCCAAGGCCGAGCAGTCATAGCCTGTCTGAATTCTGTCACATCTGTGCTGTGTCTGGTCTTGGGAACGGAATGTCTGTCCTTCAGACCACAGGTCGGGACCAACCCTGATGAGGGGACTGAGGTGAGGCTTAGGGCATGGCTGGTCACTACGGGCCTTTGAGCCAGAACCCCAGGATGGCATTCCTGAGTACAGCCAGTGAGTGGGGCTGTGCTGAGGTGCTGGGCAGTGTGGCCACCGGTCCTACAGGCCATGATGCACTGAGGGTGATTCCTGTATGTGCTATCCCTGGGGACAGGGTCCTCATCCTTCCTCCAGCTCTCCCATGGACCCTACCCTGGGTGTCACCCCAGTCCCCTCCTGGGAAACTCCCATTAGCTCTAGGACCCCCGAGGGACTCACATGAAGAAGCAGGAAAGGGCCTCAGTGTCCGGAGTCTGAGGAAGGTACCTCCGGGCCAGGGCCTTGAAGCGCTGCCAGCGCCGGAAGTTCTCGTAGACGCTGTTGGGGTTTCTGGAGCTTTTAGGCGGTGACTGGCTCCGGGTGGCCGCCGGACCACTGTCCCCACAAACCCACTGGGTCAGTGTCCCACTGCTGGATGGGAGGGTGATGGGGGCCACCTGGGCCACTGGCAGTGGAGCCTGTGGACGATGGTCTTCTGTCCCAGCCTGGGTGACAGTAGTAGCTGGGGTGGGCATAATTGTCTCCGGCCCAGAGGACACCAAGTAGAGTGGTGCAGGATGCCCGGCCACCGCAGTAGGAGCTTCTGCGGTCCCCCAGTTGAGTGGAGCCTGTGTCAGGATGACAGGCTGGTTCTGGGATGACTCCACAAGCCCTGCTTCAGGGCTGACCTGGATGATGACCTTGCAAGGTCCAGGGTTGTGGGGGCCAGGACCGGCAGCTCCTGCCACCACGGGCATCATGGGAAAAGGTGACAGCACCAGAGGGTTGCCGGGAACGCTGGTCGAGGTCACCAGAGGGGGCATCTGGATCGGCTCCCAGGGTGGTGGCTGGGGGGGCCCTGGATTGAGAAAGGGCAAGACCCTGAAGACACCGAGGAGAGGAGGGAGGGGGAATGAGAGGGGGATGGTACAGGGAGCAGCGGTGCCTCATTGGCTCAACCATCTCTAGATCAGGCCCTTTGATGGGAATGAGGCAGCATGCCCTGTCTCAGCCCTGAGTTGCTGACACAGGCCATCCTTCCCCTCCAACTGGGTTATGCTTTGTGGAGATCCTAAGGCCAGGGTCCTTGTGTCCTGGGATGGCCTCTGTGCTGAGCACACTGACCTCTCACACCCTGCCCTCCAGCCTCTTTGGAGCTTCCCAACATGTACCTGGACACACTGGTCTGTCGGCAAGAGACCCTGCAGGGTCAGTCACAGAGACTGGACCAGCCGCACCACAGGTGCTCAGCACCTACAGGGTCCCATGACAACAGAGTCTAAAGGACAGACTGTCTACTCAGGCTGTAGGCTCATCAGGGCCTCCTGCTTCACTAAGAAGGCAAACACCTCTGAAAATGTGTTCTTCCCAAGAAGTGCCCAGGACCCAGACAGGAGCACAATACCCACTGCCTAGCCTGTGCACAGTAAACCCACAGTCAACCCTCCACACTGGCAGGTGTTGCCACCCTGTCTCTCGAACACTTAGTCACAGTTTCTACCTCCAACATTCTCTTCCCACGAGAGTGGCCTGGAAAGTGGTCCTGGGCTCCATGAGTTACGCCAGTTCCATCAGGGACGATGGCAAGGATGGAAAAGGTCAGAGATTTCACCAGTCAGACCTGGGAGGTTTCCAGAGTTCTGGAGCTGGTGGTCATGGTAGATTGAAAATTGGTGACATCTTCTAAATAATCTAAGACTTTATCCCAGTGACAGGATCCTAAACATCAGGCATAAACCAGGTGCCAGGAGAGAGAAAATTGTCTGCAACCATACTTGCACACGAGGAATTCAGGCAGAGACTGGTCCTAGAGACGCCCTAGAGTCTGTGTGCATCACGCTCAAGACAGAGGCCCTGAGGCTCCAACTGCTCTGAGGATGCTATCATTTTGCCTCAGCACATTCCACCTCCCCTCAAGGAACAGACCTTCACAGGCTTTACTCAGGAAAACCCAACAAATCATACCCACAGACATAGAGACACCCCCTCACACACCCCCACACATTCTCTCCCTCCCTTCCTCCCTCTCTCTCTCTCTCTTTCTCTCTCTCTCTCTCTCTCTCTCTGTCTCTCTCACACACACATTCATCTCTACCCCCCTCTAGGGTATGAGGGGGGATGTGATTACCAATCATTCTTCACCTCAGAGCTGAAATGCAGACTGGTCCCCCATGAAATGCCAGACCATGGAAGAACAAACTTCACCAAAAGAACAATCCAGAACAACTCAAGAGTCTGAGTCATAACTACGCTGAAGTCACCTGTCTCCCAGTCTGCTGACCCAGGACAGCTACTGGACTCAGCCAGGAGAGAGTTCCCATCTGCAGGGGGGTCAGGCTCTGACTGTGGCAGTTAGCCACTTGTAGCCCAGCTCTGGAGTGGACGCATCATGGCAGAAGTGCACACAGACAACCTCACTCAACAAGGTTCAGGCTGGACCATCTCTGCTGAGCTGCCCACATCAGGTTGAGCTCAGCCCAAGTCCAAATCCTTCTAAACTTATTCTAGAGCACAGGAGGGGACAAGGACTCAGCATGCCTCGGTGTTCCCTGTGCCACCACCAAACAGACCCTCCATACACACGACAAATGGCCTTGTTCCCCCATCCACAAGCAGGGACACTCACACACAAAGCAACAATATGCCTGCTACCTCCCTCTGTCCATACCCATGACCTTCCCCCTGTCATTTGCCACACCTCCACGGATGCCCTCCCAGTCCCCTCAGGTCCTCCTGGGCTCCCATTGCTGTGCAGGTGAGCTATCTATGAAGCCCAGTCCTTTCTCCTCTTTTACCCCTTCAAAACTTGGTGTCTCCAGTCAGGATAACTCTGAACCCAAAGGCTTTCAAGGTGGCAGAGACTTTCTCACATACACAGACACCCTCACAGGCTTACCTCCTTCTGACGCCATCCCCGTAGACGAGGCCAGAGGCCACTACAGCTTATCAGCCTTCACAATGGCAAAAGGCAGGACCTGTATCAGACAGTGAACTGCTCACGCAGATGCTCAGGATCCGAGTGGGTGAGGGAGAGGTTTGGATTCAAACCTCAGAATGTTGGGCCAAGACATTCTGCAGTGGGGGAGGGGAGGGCCAGGAGGGCCTGGCTGGGGAAACATTCCATGAAGGGCTCTGACTGGAGGGCCAGAACCAGATCTTTCCTTCAAACTGGTCAGTGGCAGCGCTGCTCACATGGCCTCTTCTAGCAACTTAGACCAAGTTTCCCCATTCTCAGCACACAGGTTGGCTTGGTCTTTGCTGGATCTCAATACTTTATCCACCAGTCTAGTTGTGTGCCCCTCAAATCTCTCTCCTTCCTCTCTCCCTGTTGACCTCCTTCAACAGAGGCTACTCTTTCTTTGAAAAATTCAGTCATTAGTGATTTGTGAACCCTGGAGGTCACAATTTGAGAGGAGTTTCCCCCAGCAAATGCAGTGGGTTTTGCTTTATTGTTTGTTTGTTTCCTGATCATTCATTAGGGTCCAGTCCCTAGGACTGAAAGTAATGTAGATTTGTCTAGCAGGTTTGACAACATTTTCAAAGTTTCTTTCTACTGGAAGCTCTTATCCTTCCTGGAATAGCCATGAAGCCTCAAGTTGAGACAATGACCAGACTCAAACTTACTTCTTTGCATTTGCTATTCATTTTATGGATGATCTGCCTCCTAAATATAATGTTGAATTGAGGAATATCTTTCATTGTTCAAAGCTAAGTTTTGCCAAAGGCTCAATGATGTGTGTTTAATGCAGTGCTGGGTGTTCCCTTCAACTTTCTCTGATTAGTACAATGCTCTCTCCCACACAGAACTGGTATTCTGTTGTTAACATATTTCTAGACATGCACTATTTGCTGAAACCCAAAAAGGATCCCATTTTTATGAACTCATAATTGTTTTCCTCTCTGGTTAAAAGTACATGTATGTTCTACCCGCTGGCATGTGCAGTGATTTCTTTATATTGTTTAAACGGCTTCTCTCTCCTTTAGGAGACTCCATCCCCACAGCATAAACTTCTGCCGTTCCTAACTGAATCCTTACACTGCCTGGCAATTCAGTGGCCGATGGAATAGGGAGGTCTGAATTAGGAAGTGGAGAAGAATGGATGTGCAACTGACTTCAATATTCAGATCCTCAACAAAGTTACCTTCTACATAATTTTTTCCATGTTTGGGAAACCCTGAATTCAGATTTCCTCTACACTCTTTCCTCCAGTGTTTATAAGAAAGAGAGTTTTCAGTCTAATTTTGGAACAATTTATAAGATCTTCCCAAACTCTCAGTCTGAAAGGTTTTGGGATTATGCATTTAAATCCAACATTCATTGCACTGTTTGGTCGCTATGGAGGGAATGACCTGCTCCGTCCATAGCCGTCAGATCATTCCATTCTCTGCAGCACCGAGGCTGCCTTTGCAGACACCGATCTCTGGACGTTTCCCAGCAGCTGCTCTGTGCACTCTACATTGGTTCAGTAGGGATATCCAAGTCATAAGAATTCTATCAACATCAGGAACATCCTTCCCCAAACGATGTTGGACACAGGAAACACAGGAAAGTCGAGACATTTCTTGGGACTTCCACTTCGGTCACGAAGAACCTAGACTTGATTTTCAGCCAAGGATTCCTCATGAGATGGATTTTGATATTGAACTTTGTCCTCGGGCATCAATCAAGGCTTTATGTTTGCTTCCTTGCTGTGTCCTGAAAAGCCACCAATAATTATGGAGACGCTTGCGCGTGACTGGCGGACGTTACCACCCACCGTGGCCAGTAGGTGCGCGCGCGTCGGGGCTGTCCTGGGTCAGTTCTAAGCAGTTAGAGGTAACGGACACGCACGCGCACCTGCATCTCTCGCGGGGTCTGCAGCCGCCAACGTCCTACAGGCTATGGGTGTAATGATTCCCCAAAAGGGAATCATTACACCTTTTGTAATGATGCCCCAAAAGGGAATCATTACACCTTTGGGATATTCGCACCCATGCCTGTGTCGGGATCAACAGAGTGGTGTGTGGCCCTGTCCAGCTCTCTGCAGGGGCGCGTCTCCCCCAGGCTGTGGGCACTGCCGCACACCTGCGCCAGGTCGTTTCTGGATCTGGATGCTGAGCGCCAGGGAGATAAAGGACTCCTGGGACCAATCTAACTGCTGCTTGGGGCCAGAGCGATAGTGCAGCGGGGTAGGGTGATTGCCTTGCACGTGGCCAACCTGGGTTCCATCACAGTCATTCCTGATGGTACCGCCAGAGTAATTCCTGAGTGCGAAGGAATTACTGAGCACAGCCAGTGTGGCTTAAAACCAAACCAAAACAAACTTCTGCTGCCTTGTGAGCCAGTTTGGAGTGATGCAAAAGCCAGCCAAAAGTTGTTCCTAATTTGAAATCCTTATTCCTAGAGCAAGAAGTGTCTCAGGTCACAGCAGTACATGGGGAAAATATGTACTAGTGCTAACACATCTCCTCAGAGCTTCACTTTTCTTTTCCTAAAAGAATTAGAAACCAAGATCTGTGTTTCAGCACTTTTCAGTAAATGAAACAGTTTTGTTGAGGAAGAGTAATGAAATCATCATTACCTGAATACCCAATTATGGTGCAGTTGGTACCTATGTTGGCAGGAGATGTAAGAGTTAAGCAAACATAAAAATATTAAATCTGGGGACCGGAGTGATTGGACAGCAGGTAGGGTGTTGCCTTGAGTGCTGCTGTCTCAGGTTCAATCCCTGGCATCCCACACAGTCCCTCAAGCACTGCCAGGAGTGATTCCTGAATG